CAACAACGAGCTACAGATTACTTTAAGATTCGGAGGTTGCACATGAGGAATCACTATAATTGGGGGGATGTTTAATGATTTTATTTTCATTTTGCTGTGCACTCATAAGTTGCTGTTTTTTTGTTAGTTTTTTTTCAAAAATACGCTTTTTAATGTCTTCTTTCCTTTTCCCCCCTTTAAATAGATACTGCTAAAATTAAAAATCTTTTTTCAGTTCAAGAAGGTCTCAATCATGTCTGAGGATTTTGATGCAAACTATTTTGTCTCCTGAATAAATACAATTTTCCGCTCAACATAAATGCATAATATGATTAGCCTAATAATGTTGACTAAACACCAAACTCAATTAAACTAGTCCTTTGACTGATACATAAATACACAGATAAAGCCTGTAATGGATGAACCAACAGCATGGTGCTAATCAGCTTTCCTGTATCTTGTTTTCCAACTTTTAATCACTGTGAATTAAGGAGCTCCTGCATAAAGCATGTGACTCTGCTCCCATCTATTGGTAGAAGGTAAGTACTGTCCCTAACAACCAGTGTTCTTGGATTTTCACATTTAGCTTTCTGTTAAAATACATGAAGGTTGTTCTTTATAAACTCTTTATGAAGGTTTTTATTGCTGCCACAGCATCGTTTACAAAACATACTGATAACAGAATAGGCACAAAAAAAACATCTGAGAAACAACTCAGCAGTTTATTTCACTGTAAAAAGAAAAAAAAAAGAAATAGTGTTGTAACAAGACAACAAAAACAACCCATAGTTTTCATCTCTGGAGCTGTTTTTGTCCCAGATGCTTCATGTCGGCATCATAATGAGGAATCGGTAGCTGTAAAGCAGGCGAGATGCCTCAGCTCTTATAAAACAAGATGAGTCACACATTAAATGAGCTTCTCACTGATCTGTGCCTTCTCTCTTCTAAATAAACCACAAAAAAGGGGCTCACACAAGGGGATAAATCGTCACAAAATAGAGTGAAATAAATGGCATTGAAGTCTTAGTTGCAGGAATACAGATACTAGAGATATTGCATGTTTATTTTCTACAAACTTGAAACACTTGGTGCATGTTTACATTTTTCACTGCCAGAAAATAAAAGAGAAAAACAGCCAATACTTATAAACAATCAAGTTTTGATCTCAGTTATGTAGGAAATAGGAATACCAAGGTGGTATTAACTGGTTAGTCAGTTGGGTTATACTAGTGTACTGATATAGTTTGCATATTGACTGTAGTTTTAACTTTAAAAAAAATAAAAAGTGGTGCTTTTAAAATGTTCTTTTTAACAGTTGTAACATTTTCAGACAACTTAATCGCTCTTTCTTTTGAACAAGGAAATCCCGTAAAGCTGGAAAACCCTTTGGTAGTTTTTTAAAACTTTTTTTTTTCTACAATGATATTCTAGGAATTTAACACCAAATAAGGTTGTGACTTTTCCACTTTTGAGACGTTTTTTTTTCTCCAAATCCCTTATCGTCCATGGATATGGTACTATTTATAATAGGCCTAATGTAAAGCATAGCCAAGTACTAATTTCCTGAGCAGCAGACGCTAGGAGCCCAGATATACAGAGATATCAACAAAGAAGGTTGTGAATTTTCCACTTTTGAGCTGTTTTTTCCCCCCAATTATATCTTTTGAGATCACATCTCCAGTATCCATGCTAAGGAACTCTTCTTTGCTTAGAACAAAGTTTAAATCTTTTTAAAACCTAAATTCTTATGCACTAATCATCAAATTAATCAACTCAAACTAGTATTTTTTTTATTAAATTGCATTAAAAATGATCAGTGTATAGTTTGAGAATGTTTGTAAAGGTTTTCAATATAAAAGCCTGAAAATGTCCAATGTACACACGACTAGTGAGCCTATTTATAATTTATGGCACTTTAAAAAGAACCTTGAGGATTTTTTTTTATGAAGTCTACTAAAAAAGTTCTGGTATCTTTATTGAAACAACTCAGAAGCTGTTAATTATTAAGATGATGAAAGCAGAGGAGGTGGTAGTGGACTACCAATGTTTTCTTGATAAACATGCTGTGAGAATAAATGATCATTTCTGACTGGAGTCAATTCCTAAAACAGAAAAAAAAAATCTTTAAAATATTTATTGCTATAATAATTGTGTGGAGTGTTAACCTTTATATTCCAAATGACTGACCAGATAAGCTTTACTTGGTGGTTCTTCAGTGGATGTTTCCTGAGGGAAGTCTATTAATGTTGCACCGACGCCTGTGATAATATCCTGGCTGAATTTGTGCATAATTGATGGTCCTATAAAACTAAAAGAAAAGATTGAAACATATTTAAATGTCATAGTTCTCACAATCAGATATGACATTTTAGGATCAGAGCTGTTCTAAGACATCCACATTGTCCAAGAACCGTCACCAAAAAATAGTTCCTTCATCCTCAGGGACTATATTTCCTGACATAGTGATTGCTAATGCTTTTACAGAAGAAAGTCATTTAAATAATTCTCACCTATCCATTTACTTCTTAAAGAGAGGCATTATATTCACAAGATAGTGGATGAATTAATTTTATTTTTCAAAAGCTATTTTTTAATTTGCCAAATTAACTGGATTCAAGGACAAAGAAAATTTCAATCAAGATGTTTCCTAAGGCAGTTATTAAAGTTTGACTTTGGACCTTTTGGTACAATGAAGCCAAGCGTATTCTGGCCTAAAGAGCCCTGCTGAGTTCAAGGTCGGATCTTTTTTTTTCCCATTTTTATTCTTATCAGTTCATTATAGCTCTTTCATGTACTTCCTGGTTATTATTTAAAACCCAAAGCAGCCGGATGAATGTGAAAGGCAAGTTATTTCAACAACAGATTTATATGCAGTTGCTTTTGATTCAGTCACATTACATCCAGGGAAAATACTTACACCCCCCGTTTAATATTTGCTGTATTCTGAATATTTACTGGCAATAAAAAAATAAGATCAAATGTGTCTGTATTTTATTTTCTACATGTAATGGAGTTTTTTTGTACTTCTAATTTAGTGGGAAATTGACGCCACCCTGAAGATTTTTATTTCACTGTATTCTGTGACTCATCCAAAGGCAAAGCCGGAATTTTCTGAAACCAATAAAGTTTTGTGTAGGAGAGAAAACATTGCTGAATACTGAACAAAACGGCTTTGAGAGAACAAAAACAAATGAAAACAGCAGATAAAAAGTGCACATTTCCATGTATGCTCATCTGTCTCTGTCTACAGGATGAGCAACATCATCAGAGTCGCTCTAGAGTCCACGGTAAAGGCCCCATTGGAGAACATTGGACATTCATAGTGTCGTACCACCTAAACTGAGCAAACAGGAAGGGTCCAGCGGAACGGTGCATGAGCGGAGGCGGACGGCTGAAAGCAATGGAGTGCAAAATGGCGTTTGAGCACCACAGCTGATGCCTTTCAGTCCTCTAGCCAGTCCTTCAAACTGCATTGTCGCTCATAACGGTGAATCCTCTCTGCTGCGACACAGACACATTAAAATTGAGATCATCAGTGACCTCTAATCAGCCAGCAGTTGACTCCCTGCAGATTAAAAAAAAAAGCTTTATTTGTTGAAAAGGGAAACCAGGAGAGTCGATTTGCTGAGATCAGGCAAAGTGTTTCTGCATTTCCAGCGGAGTGATTCAGTATGTGGATACGCACTGCAGTTTATATGCAGTTTTATATTATATACGACTGTAGAAAATATATCTTTAAATAACTCCTAGGGTTGATATTCTGAAGTCAAAATATAAAACCTCTGTAAGAGTAGAAAAGGCGTTTTACTGACATCCTTGTGTTGCAGGGGTGTGTATATATTGTGTGTGGCTAATGGAAAAAGCTTCATATAAACACTATGTTGGACTCTGCCATCAGCCCTAATCTAAAAGTGAGCTCCTCACTTATAAAACAAACCGTGCAGTAAGACCGAGAAAAAGTATTCATTCTCATTGGACTTTTCATATTTTTTTCATTTTATTGCCACTAACTGGTATTTTTCTGGGAGTTTGCAGTAGAAAAAAACAAGAGATTGGCTGTAAAATAAAGTAATGATTTTTTTCTATTCCTTACGAAAATGTTTGGAATGTGTTTTTATTCAGTAAAGTTTTCTTCCATATCCTAAAAATAAAATCCAATTTAGTCACCTGTCTCCAAAAGTCACCCAGTTGGTATATGGATCACATTTTGTGTGTGTAGGAGAGAGAGAAAAGGTCACATAAGTCCTAAGAGGGACATGGCAACCTCGTTTTACTAGAATTTAATATTTTAATCGGTATGCAGAACAACATGTGTGGTGCATCCCCCGTCATGAAACATGGCGGTGGCAGAGTGCTGCTGTGGGAAGCAGGGACAGGGAAGCTGGTTGGTGCTGATGGTCAAATAGATGGAGTGTGCTGAAGGCTGAAAAAGGAGGTGGAATTTTCTATGAAGTGAGATTTGTTTCACTATTGTTATAAGCAAAGAACAGGTTTTGTAAATGGACACATTTTGTAAATCATATAGAAAAAAATACAATCCAGAAATAAACTTTGAAAAGGTTTTAATCAAAAGTGGTTTCAAAACTAAACTTTTTCTGTTTTATCAAAATTATATTTTTCACATATTTCTTTTCTCCAAATTAACTTTTAGTTTTTATCTTTTTAAACTTTATTTTATAAAACTGTACTTTTTATGAATACATTTCTAATGTTATTTTTTCCTCAATTTCTGTCACCTCTCTGGTAGGGCTTTCCTCTGGTGTGTGGAGTAAAGACTTCTTATTGGTCATGGAAGTTAGCAGCATCATATTGGTCAATGTGTGGGTCAAAAGTGAGCTTTAATATTGGGCTTGAAGCGAAGAGAATGTTATCTGTGAAAATTCATATGAAAGGAATGAAAGTTGTGAAACTCAATCTAAAAAAAACAGAAATAACAAAATTTAAGAATATAATCTGTACAAAAATAAAATAAAAAGAAACTAAAATATAAAATCTGATAAAACAGGAAAATTTATCTCAAAACCTTTGTTCATTAAAACATATTTCTAAGTTTAATTTCTGGGCTGCATATTTTCAAATAGCAAAATCTGTTCTTTGCTTGCAACAATAATGAAACTAAATCCACTCCATAGATCTCCCTCCTGCAGGAGGCCAAGTCAAAACATGCAGCCAGAGCTGCACTGGAATCATTTAGACCTCAAATGGTTTATATGTCAGAAAGGACTGGTCACAAACCAAACCTTGATCCATCTTAGATTTTGTTTTAAGAAAAAAAAAAAAAAAAAAAACATTCTTTGCAGTGGCTGTTTTTCTATTTCCGAAAGGAAAAGGGAAAAATATTTTAGCCTAAATGAAAAACCTTCCAGCAACCTTCAAGCAGTTCTAAAAAATACTGACTTTTGCAAACCACGATTTTCGGATGTTTGCAAAAACAATGTCTCCCTACATGAATCATTTTACTTCCCTTCCACAGGGACTCTGCACTGGTTCAGGACAAAAATCCAATCAAAATACATTTTAATTAGGTTTCTTTTGTGACAAAATGTGCAAAAGTTCAATGAGAGTGAATACTTTTCTGAAGCATGTAGCTTACTGTGACGGAATCAATCCGGTAGGGACGGATAGATGCATGGATGCAGTGCTGGCTTTGTGTCCGTACTTCAGTGATTTGCACCTATACCACAGCAGCTTGAATAAATGTTTAACAAACAGTACATAGAATCATACACATAAACCATCCTGGGTTTTACATGTACACATTGTTTAGAATCAGCAGGAGAAAGGCAGAGAGAGGAGGTGACATAGCTATGGTCGTCCTGCAGGTATGTCCAAGAAGCCCTCTAAGAACCCGGCTCAGCTAGTTTCCTCCTGGAACCCTTTTATTTTTCCTCTCCCTTCCTCTCATGACCAAACCGGTCAAATCTATATGCTCTGATTAGACATCTTTGGTCAAAAAGGCAGACTCAGCAAACGTTGCTTTCAGCTGTTCCTCCTTCAAAAGGCCAACTCTGGGGTGAGTCCTCTGGTTCAAAGTGCCGACTGGTTCAAGGCGCGTTTGCTGCTGTGAGGAAATAACCTCCGTCTTCCACCAGCCATCAGAGGTCTGTAAGCCAGCGCATTATGAGAGGGGGGTCACAGCCTCCTCATGTGTCTGATTGTAACTTAGTAAAGGTTAACTGCCGGGGGGTCCGGCCGTGAGAAAGTAGGTCATCATCTCTCCTTTGCCTTTGACAGTGACGACGCCTCGGTATTCCAGTGTGTAGTTATAGGAGCTCAGTACCTGGTACAGATCGGTTGTCACCTGCGTGCAGATAGTATGGTTTAGAGTCACTATCATTTTTTTGTTTTAATAAACAACTACTGATTAATAATAATAATAAAAAAATATTAAAACCAAAACAATGTTAGTAGTTATTATTATTAAGATTGTAATGTGAAACTTCTGAGCCAGTTTTTTAGTAATAAAGTTACTTTTTTCTATGCAAGATTTTCTGAAATATTCGACAGGAAGTCAATAACTATATTAGTTAGTTACCTGTATCCTTTCTGGGACCCCTGTGCTGTCCATGCGACTCGCTACGTTCACCGTGTTCCCCCAAATGTCGTACTGAGGCTTCCTGGCCCCGATCACTCCGGCAACCACAGGGCCAATGTTTAGACCTGTGAAAACAGATTAAGATAGCATCAGATATTTACCAACCTGTGTATTACTGCAATTGTATGTATTTTGGAGGGAGGGGGATCTAGTAACCATAGATACCATCTATCTCCCAAGTAACAATATTTTTGCATCTTCCTTCAGTTTTCTGACTATCCATAGTCAGGAACTATAGTCAAATGTTTGCTGGGGGTCAGAATGGGCAACATCAAATCCT